AGCTACATTGGTCGAGCGTGCAAAATTACTAAGGGTTATGTCTGTGTCTTCGTGTGTTACAGCACGAAAGCAATCCACTTAGAAGCCACCAAAGACCTAACCACGGAGAGATTCCTGGCCGCATTTTCGCGATTTATAGCAAGACGTGTCCTTCCCCAACAGATGTATTCAGATAATGGGAAAACATTTGTTGGAGCCTCATCCGTCCTTTCGAGATATTTCTTGCAAGCAACCAAGGAGCTCGTCTTATCCAAGCACAGCCATCAAAACTTGTCTTGGCATTTCAATCCCCCTGGCGCTCCTCACATGGGCGGATTGTGGAAGGCAGGTGTTAAAAGCTTCGATTTGTTGGCTCTAAGTCCAGGCCACTTCCTAGATGGCGGCCCTATTGACAACCAACGAGCCGGTAATCCAAGAAGAGGCAATTTCTATAATTAACCGCTGGCAGCGACTCAAACCGCTGCACCAGTAATTCTGCATTCGGTGGAAGAACTAATACTTAAAAGAGCTCCATACGCAGAACAAATGGCAGTCCCCTACAAGTGACATCCAAGTCGTGGATATGATGATTATCAAGGAAGATAATCTACCAATAAATGAATGGCGCCTTGGCTGACTCCAGCTCGCTTGCCCAGGCTCAGATGACAAGGTCCGCGTAGTGGACGTTCTTACCGCACTCCACCTCAGCAGGTTCGACATAAGAAAATGAAAATATTAAAGTGCTACCACGAAATACAAAATCATTTTGATTTTAAACTACAGCTTTAAGATCTACTTATCTGACGCCTCCCCCACAAACAGTGACTTCATAATATATGATGTTGGTGCGCCGTGTGCGTAACCCTTTAATTTGAATGCCATCGCCGGCTGCCATTCAAATTTTCTACCTACTTGCGCCGAGACTCGGCTCTGCAGCAACAACATTAGAACCCAAATCTTGTTGTTGTGGTTTCTACGCGCTGACTATAGGAACGCAAGAGAAACCAGCAACAAACACAGTGGCATTATTTGTCCCATTTCATTGCACTGGGTTCCCTAAGTCCTCAAAACTTTTCAACTTTTCAGCGATAAAAACAGACGACGAAAAAAAATGGGGTTTCATGCGCACTAAAAATTTTTCGTGTTTGATCTTGCGTTTGCAGACCAACCTTATCGACCTTGCGCCAGTTCTAAAACGATATTAAAAGCTCGGAGTGACTTTTCAGCTCTGTAGCTGTTTATTACTCTATGAGAACTAGCAAACAAATACATAAGCGGTAAAGGCCATGACGCAAAACTTGGCCAATTGATAAGGTAAAACTTATCGCCTGCTTGTTCAATAACATGAATGGTAAAATTTCAAATTTGTCAACACTTGTACGGAAGCAACCGGACAAGCAAATTCTGAACTGTTTTAGTACAGAATAGTCTCTTCGATAGGGTTCGAACTCGCAACAGACCGCACTACTTTCCGCCGCCTCTACTCAAAAGCCACACCACTAATTGAGTAATAATGAGAAAAAACGAATTAAAATAGCAGCACAGAAAACTATCAAATCGCAATTGCAATGTTGTTAATATAATTCAAAACAATTGCGCCTGAATGTGTGTGTACATGTATTCAGAAAATCTTGTAATTTGCGCTTGTTGTCGCTGATACTAGAAAGTTCAAATCACGTTTTCTTAAATCATTTCTCTGTTTCTTAACCGATCTTCATGAAATTCTACATCTTATTGTACTGTAGAATATTCGTGTATTATCAAAAAGTCAATTGCATTTAAATTGTGGCTTATATTTGTGGGCAGCATAATTTGGTGTTTTTACTTGATTTATAGCTATGAGGTGGTAGTGGGGAGGTGGTGATAGCTAATTAATGATACTTGATATAATATACTATTCTCGAAACGACATGTTAAGTTTGGTGACTCTAGCTCTTATTATATACCAAAATTCCTCAAAAAACAGATTTCCATATCGATTATTATCGACTACTTGGAAACGGGCAAGTTGTCGAATATCGGAAACAAACTCGATCTGCGCGAGGACTAGGAGGACCTACAGCTAAAATTTTAAGTCTCTAGCTCTTATAGGTTCTGAAATCCTTGCGTTCATACATACGGACGGACGGACATGGTTAGATCGACTCGGCTATTGATGCTGATCAAGAATATATACTTTATAGGGTCGGACATGCTTCTTTCTGCCTGTTACATACATTTGCACAAATACATTATACCCCTTTTACCCAATTTCAAAAGGTTTAGAGTATAAAAATGGTATTTACGTTGCAAACACAATAGCAACATCGCAATATACATTTGTCCGTTTATTAAACACAACTAATGCTGACCATTTGGTGGAAATTAGAGTATTAACCCCTTTCGAACTACGATTTAGTTCAACTAATCAAGAAAATAGAAAAGAAATTGTTTTAGCTTAACTAAAAAAAATGTTCAGCCTCAATTCAAACAAGTAAGAGGCTCTAGTCGGAAGCTCCCGACTAGGGAATACCCTGAACCCTCTTCTACCAACACCAAATGCAGCTCGCGCTCCGATCTCGTTTACTTCACCAGTAAAAAAAAATAAATTAAAAAAAGCTGTTTCCTCGATAGGTCTCCAACTCGTGACAGCCCAATTCAAAAAACAATTAGTAGAATTATGCACCAAATATAGTGATATATTCGGACTAGAAGCCGAATCGATAACAACTAACAACTGCTATAAACACAAATTTAGACTAAAAGTCAGTGAACCAATATATATATAAAATTATCGAAGTCCTCATAGCCAAGTAGATGAAATACAAGAACAAGTAAGGAAATTGATCACCGACAATATAGTCGAACCATCTGTATCCGAATACAATAGCCCACTTTTGCCCACTTTTGCCTTCCGGGTTTAGAGGAAAAGAAACGGCGATTAGCAATTAACTATCGTTAAATAAATAAAAAGTTTTTTTCCGGTAAATTTCCGCTTGCCAGAATTGACGACATTCTAGATCAATTGGGTCGAGCCAAATACTTCTCATGTCTTGACTTAATGTCAGGTTTCCATCAGATTGATCTAAAAATAGCTCCACTCTCATTTCAGAGTTTGATGAACATAGCATTCTCTGGACTTAACCCTTCGGAAGCATTCCTGTATATGGATGACTTAATGGTAATAGGTTGTTCGAAAAAACATATGAATAAAAACTTAGCACATGTTTTTGAAATATGTAGGTAATTCAACTTAAAATTGCATGAAGAGACCTTTCTAGGTAACAAATGCACTGATAAAGAAATCTTTCCAGATGACAAAAAATATTAAGTCATCAAGAATTACCCAGTCCCAAATAATGCGGACAACGCTAGACGATTAGTTACATTTTGCAATTATTATCGTCGTTTTATTAAAAACTTCGCCGACTATTCACGGCACATAACTAAACTATGTGAAAAGAATGTACCTTTCAATTCGACAGACGAATGCCTAAACGCATTCAAACATCTTGAAGAGAAGCTAATGCACCCTACGTTATTACAATACCCAGATTTTCGCAAAGAATTTAGATAAATTACAGATGCTTGTAAACAAGCTTGTGGAGCGGTTTTAAGTCAAAACCATAATGGAATTCAACTCCCAATAACATATGCATCACGTTTATGCACAAAGGGTGAAACTAATAAAAGCACAACAGAACAAGGGCAAGCTGCTATTGATTGGGCAATAACACATTTTCGACCATATATATATGACAAACATTTCACAGTAAAACGGATCACATACCACTTACATATTTATTTTCAATGACAAACACCAGCTCAAAATTAACACGCATGCGACTTAAATGAGAAGAGTATGATTTTACGGTCGAGTACTTAAAGGGAAAATATAATTTTGTAACAGACGCCCTATCGCGGATAACAATATCCGATCTGAAAAATATTCAAAGCAAAGTCCTGAAAGTCATTATACGCAACAAAGTAGACAAACCAAAAACTGTACAGTTAGCAATAAACAACTTTTGCCAAGGCAAAGTCTTAAAAATTTATCTAGGCCCAACGAACATGAAGTAATTATAAATGACGAAGTACGGAAAGTACTGACCTTGCGAATAATTGAATTAAATGTTTATTGAAGGAAGGGCATAAAGTGATAATTAATGTTGACGATTTGTATACCAATGGAACTTTGGACTTAAGTCAGTTCTTCCAAAGACTTGAAAGGCAAGCCGGTATTTTAGAAATCACCCAACTCAAAGTGGATCCAATTGAAGGAGGTCATACTAACATAAAAAAAAAGGTAGCGAAAATTAAAAGACACTACTATTGTAAAAATATGAATCGTCATATAAAAGCGTACATACGTAGAGGTCATAAATGCCAAATGGCAAAAACAACGACAATGACTTTAAAATAAAAGTGCCAGAATCAATTAGCTAATTTATTCCAAGCCAGCTTAAAGATTTAGAAGAATCTAAACAAAGTAGCGACTCAGAAACATAGAAACACGGGAGGAAATAGGTAAAGAATCAATTGAACAAAAAGAAATCATTAATTTAAACTCAAACATGGCACAGACAGTAATAGTTTTTAAAATTAGACTCATCGCTGATACCAGAATTTGGAAAGGCAGAAAACCTACAAAATTTCTTAGATGTACTGAATCTAATGGATTCGATAAACGGCACTCATGAACTAACTGCTGTAAGCATAATTAAGATAAAACTGAAAGGCCACGCTAGAAACTCGATAAGTAATGAGCAGACAATTCTTGTCATTACTAGTCAATTATTCAAACTGTGAAAGGAGAATGTGTAGAATTAATATCTGTAAAACTCCTTGATCTGCAGCAAATGAGCAAAACGAGCATATTATATTTATTGTGTGTGTGTGTTTTTTTTTTTGGCCCGGCCAATCGTATGCGCGATTCGCTGACTCCGTCAACACCTACTTACTAATCTCACCCCCCCACTCACACACCACATTCCCCGCGGGATCACCGCAAAGTATTACTTCGCGGGGATGGGTTGCCTACTTTAGGCAATCTTCATTATTCGGCGCTCCTTTTTGCATCGTCTTAGATCCCTCTGGATGCCTATTATGAGGTGACTTATATTTCTCCAGTTGTCCTCTCCTTCCAGCATGAACGTTACCATTCCCTCAGGTGGAGATACAGTGCCTACTGCGTCTCTGTACCTCAAGCACTTGAACAGCACGTGTTCCGAGTCTTCGTCCAAATTTGGGCAGGTCGAGCACTCGGGGGTGTCCTCATGCCTGAACCTATGGAGATACTTCCTGTACCAGCCGTGTCCAGTAAAAAACTGCGATAGGTGGAAGTTAATTTCTCCGTTCCGTCTCATTATCTATTGCTTTCCCCTTTTTCCTTGGCCAATATATTTACTGGCAGCATACCTGCCAATACTGTGGCCGCTTCGTCCGACACCGTCCGGAATCCAGAAATAGTGTGGAGTTCGCTTAGCCTGATATCTTCCTTCTGAGGTCTTTCTGGCTTGCAACTGCTGATGCCCATATCGGTGCGACATAGAGCAGCACGGAGGCTACAACTCTCGCGAGGAGTAGACGTCTGCCTGCTTTAGGTCCTCCTATGTTGGGTAGCATCCTCGAAAGGGCCGCCTGCATTTTGTCCGCTTTCTGGCTAACATAGTCTTCGTGAGGTCGAAAACTAAGCCTGTTGTCTAACATGACCCCCAGATACTTGATGGAAGCCTTTGACTCGATACTAACGCTGTCTAGCTGAAATCTAGCAAACTCAACTATCTTGCGGCTTGTGATAAGCACAGCCTCTGTTTTATGGCCTGCCAGCTCCAGGCTAGCGGCACGCATCCAGCTGGCTATATTCCTTATGGCTGCATTCGCTGCCGCTTCTACTTGCAGTGCAGTGGTCCCAAGACCGACCCCTGTGGGACCCCTACTGAGTATTCGGTCTAAGGCTTCCAGTATGCGAGACCAGCTTGCTGAGTTAAAGACACCGCGCAATACTCCTTGTCTCTCCACCTTAATCGGGTACCCTCTATTGCTTTAATAGCAATATCGACCGCCGCCTTAATTGCGTCGACCGTAGATCTTGCCTTACGAAATCCTTATTGCTTTTTGGACTGGGCCTCTTTCTCATCAACAACACTCAGTAGTCGGTTGTACACGATCCTCTCCAGAACCTTTCCCGCCGTGTCCAGTAGGCAGATTGGCCTGTATCCCGAGGGTTCCTCTATTGGCTTGTCCCCTCTCGGTAGGAGGATTAATTTCTGTCGCTTCCATCTTTTGGGAAATACACCGTCCTGAAGACATCTAATGTATGTCTCGGCGAAGGCGTCGGGTTTCGTCAGAATGGTTAACTTTAGAGCCTTGTTTGGCACCCCATCTGGTCCTGGAGCCTTTTTGTCGTCTAGCTTCCTGCTTGCCACTACCACTTCGTCTGTCGACACTTGCACAAATTCCGTGCTGCGGAAGCAGTTGACGACCTCCCATCTTGGGTGATGGGGGAACAGTGCCTCAACTAAAGTGGCAAGTGCTTTCTTTAATACTTCTTTTGAGGTCTCGCTTGGCTGCCCGCAGGTTCTCCAGCCTAGGCACAAAGTCTGGGCAGCCTCGGGCTCGTTGGGATCATCTTCTAGCGCGTAGGCAGGCCTTCCTTAGGTTGCTGATTTCCTCGTTTCACCAGTAGCAAGGTGCTCCTCTTCTGTTTGGCTTCCTCCTGGGCATGGATAAGTCGCACGCTTCTGAGATGTTTTCCATTAGCTGCCGCGCCATGTCTTCTGCTGACTCCGTGGCCCAAGTCCATCGAGCATGGCGTAGGGAATCAGTGTTTGTTTCCTCGTCTAGGCAGTTATCCTTCCATTTGGGGCCTGTTGTTTTGGGCTGATGTTTCCTCCGTCCTCTCCCGTGGATCTCGAAATGTACTGCTTGGTGGTCGCTGAATGTGAATTCATGTGGTTAGCCTATAAAGTTAGCTGCTGAGAAGGGTGAGATAATAGAGCCTTTACCGGCTTTGCAGTACGTGAGCTCCTGCCCGTCGTTTGCAAGGCCCAAGTCGATCGCCGCGAACTCTTCTAGCAGGGTGGTCCCTCTCGCGTTGGTTTCCTTGCTTCCCCATTCCAGGGCCCAGGCGTTAAAGTCTCCTGCTATGACGAGGGGAGCTCTGTTGCGAGCGTCTTCAGATATTTCCTCCAGCATGTTTTGGAACCGCCGCAGTTCCCAGCTTGGGGGTGCGTAGCAACTGTAAACAGTGATTCCATTAATTTTCGCTGTGACGAATCCTTCGTGTGCTGCTCTGACTTCCTGGAGCGTTGAGTTGAGGGACCAAATGGACGCCTTTCCGCATTTACTTGCCACCCAGCCGCTTCCAGCAATAGGCTTGTATGACTCGCCCGTGTTGCTTGCGACAGCAGGGCCTGTGCAGATCGCAACGGTTGAGGTTTAGCTGTGTGAACTTCATTTTCTGTTGGCCAGGGCGCTTTTAAACGTGGGGCATCTGCCGCTACCGGCAATGTGTTTGGGGTCCTATCTTTGCAGAGCATGCACTGTGGCTCCTGTTTGCAGTCCTTAGCTAGATGGTCCTTTCCTCCGCATCGTCGGCATAGATTCGATCTGTCCAGTTCACTCTTGCAGTGTCTTGCAAGGTGTCCAAACTCGAGGCATCTGAAATCTCTGGTGAGTTGACCCAGCCCACTTTCAGGAAACCTACTGATAGTCCCTTTTTCGCGCTTTCCGCTGGCAGTCTTTTAGTCGCCGTTTGTGTTTGGCCATACGCCTTTCGGAGGTTAATATTCTCTGGGGTTATGTCCAATATTTGAATTTGACCCCTCAGCGCCTCGCAGATGTCCTCTCTGGTCGTGATCTCGTCCAGGTCCTTGGCCTCAATAGAGACTCGGTGGGACAGCGTCCGGACCTCTGCATTTTCGATTAGCGTTTCGCCCACCAGGCTCCTAAATGCTGTGGTATTCTCTCCTGGATTGCTAAGCTAAAGTAGCAGTTCTCCTTTTTGTGTCCTCCTTACTCCTTTTCCGGGTGACCTCCTTCCTTTTTTTGTGAGTGACCTCCTTCCACTTGTCGCCATCCACTTTGGGGCTCGGTGTCTCCTGAACCGTTGTTATGGTAGCCAGATTTCACTCCGCTTACTGAGATGCTAAAATACTGTCAGCCTTCAGCCCAGGAGTCGTCACAAGGTCACAAGTTGCTTTAATTACCACGGAACGGAATCGATCTGGCCATTGCTAGGTTAAGTGCGTTCAGAATCTTTTCGCCTGCTAGACGCACCTCTCCGAGCAATAACATCCCCGTGTCATTTCAGTCGCCTCATATGACAAGCAATAACTAGCTGTGGTAGTATTCTACGGACCGCTACACAAGAGAGTTGCAAGAGGAAAATAGGACAAACAGAGAAAGACAGGATAGTTTATGGAGAGTAGAAAGAGTTCCGCTCCTGCGGGACAACCGCAAGGTACTACTTCGCAGGGCGGGGTACAGCTGAATATCAGCCGCTCATCAGTCGATGCCGCGTCGGATAGCGACGGCTGTACATCCATTTTCAGTGGCCTTCATTCGCGCCACGAGATTCTCCGGGGACAAATCATTTCTGCCCGCCGTCGCTTTTTCTCGCTCGCGTCTATAGAGTGGGCAGTAGAACAATGCGTGCTCCACGTCCTCAACCATACCGTGCCTGCAGTGCTCGCAAAAGGGGTCGTCCTCATGTTTAAACCTGTGCAGGTTCTCCTTAAAACAGCCATGCCCAGTCAATATTTGGGCAAGGTAGTGGTCTACGTCGCCATGTCGCCGCTGTAGCCAAAGCTTCAGGTTTGGGATCAGTCTGTGGGTCCATCTGCCAATTGAGCTCGCATCCCATTTGCTTTGCCATTGTTCGATGGTGTTGTCCCTCAGTTGCCTGTTGGTGGTTGTCCGCTTTGCCTTTCGGCCGCCATCAGGTCGAGTGGGATCATGCCTGCCAGTACTAAGGCCGCGTCTTTCGATACTGTGCGGAAGCAGGTGGCTACACACAATGCCTATCGACGATATGCGGCCTTGCATCCTCGGCTGTAAGATGCAACCTCCATTGCGGGGGCCCATATGCTAGATCCGTAGAGGATTGTGGACGTCACCACACCAGCGATTAGCCTTCTGCTCCTCTGCCTTGGGCCTTTGGTTTTCGCCATCATTCGGCTAATGGCTGTTGTAACTTTGGCCGCTTTGTAGCTTATATACTCCAGGTGCTGTTTATACTAACTATCTTTCTGCTACTTATTAAAACTGCCTCCGAATCCGTAGCGCGAGTCCGTTCTGTGATAGCTACTCAATTATCCTGTCGATAGCCGGACTGCTCCTAAGAGTAACCTCATCGAGTTTCTTCGCGTGTATGTGTGTGTGCGTGTGTGTGTGTGTGTTTATTTTTATTTTTTTTTTTTTTTAATAGGGGCGAAATTATTTAAAGCCACTATCTACTCTCCTTTTCCTCTCGTGGGACGACCGCTAAGTAGGCAGTATTACCTCACGAGGGGGAGATGGCATGAAAGCCTCTTCTAGTATCTTATGTAGAGTTACAACTTGATTTGATAATTTCTGCAGCCATGTGGGTTACTGCAAACCAATTGTTTTGCGAGCTAAGTAGGATATCTATCAAGTCAATGACTTGAAAAGTTTTCCCAATACTTTGGCTTAGATTTTCCCGTTCAGCAGAAAGTCTGGGACAGACAAAAAAGACTATTTGTAATATTGCTTAAAATGTATCAAGTTCTATGATGCCAGATTCGCCACAGTTATATTATATATGGTCAAAATATAAATCTAGGGTATTAGGTAGTCTGACATACCCTAGTAAGTGCATTTCATACCCTGTGTTAGGCGACAACGTGAACACTTGCAAAAGTTAAGCAACGAAAATGAGAAATGAGAGAAAAGATGACGGTCAGTCGAAAAAAATATAGCGCGCGCGCGCCAGTCGGGTGACGTGGAAGCCACGCTTGCACACGTGTGCACAGCCGCGCGTTCCAGTTCACATCGGCGTCAAAGGGCCGCTAAGACATCGCAGTAGCGGCTGTACAGTGGGACGAACTCATGACATTAATAGAGAAGGAGCCCGCCGAACAACAGCGATCGACGCAGAGCTAGGGCAAACTCCTTATGGGCGGACAGTACAGCCCTCGGGGGACACCTCAACACATTCCGGTCTACTCCCAACGGGTTTGGAGCGACCGTTATGGATAGAAGGGTCTCCGCCCCGCCAGCAGTGGCCCCTCCGAATGTTGCCCATCAGACGATGAGCCAAGAGGCCGGAACTGGGTACGATCCGCGTCGAGCATGCCGTAGGTGCGCACAGGAGGGGCATTTCGCCAGGCAGCGTCCCAACGCACATGTTTTTTTCTGTTGGGTATGTGGGAAACGGGGTAGGTGTAGCCAGGATTGTTGTCGCCGCAAGAAGGCAGGAAACGGGCAACGGCATCCCACAGGCCAGGATCGGATCGACGCCGACGCACACGTGACCAGGTAATAGGACACCCACTGAAGGTGGACGGTGGCCGA